ATTTGCAAAAACGCAACTAGAATTTGAAATTATACCCACCATGTTTCAGTACAAAGATACTGGTAAATCAAATATACATAGATATACAGATATGCTGCCAATAAAAAAAAAAAAACAAAACCACACAACAAAGCAAAAAAAAACCACCAACAAAACCAAACAAACAACAACAAAAAAACAAACAAACAAAAAACAAACAAACAAAAAAACCCCCAAAGCCAAACCATTTCAAACCACAAACTTTTAAAACAGCAAGAATGTATACCTCTTACATATACACAGAGCTAAGCAACTCACTGAAATCCATTAGATGGGCTCCAAACTACTAGTATACTCAAAATTATCTGAAAGTGCAATAGTGAAATATATTACATTTCATACCAAATGTGCCATAATCGATTTGTGGTGTGCTCCTAACTGAGGGACTCTAATGTGATATCTTCATATCAAGTTCATTTTCTCCTGCTGTAAATCACAATACAGTGTCAGCTTCTTGTGGATTAACCCTGGCCAGCAGCTAAGGCCCCCCCAACCACTCATTTACTTCTGCCCAGTGGCACGGGAGAGAAAACTGTAAGACCAAAAGCAAGAAAAATTGTGGGCTGAGTTAAAGACAGTTCAAAAAGTGAAGCAAAGCAGTGCATGCAAGCAAAGCAGAATAAGGAATACATTCACTAGTTCTCATCAACAGTCAGATCTTCAGCTATTTCCAGGAAAGTGAGGTTTCATCATTCGTAACAGTTACTTGGGTAGATAAATGCTGTAACCTCAAATATCCCCGTTTCTTCCTTCTCTGACTGAGTTTTTACCAGTGGACACAATGCCATATGGTATGGAATATCCCTTGGGTCAGTTGGGGTCGGCTGTGTGGGCTGTGTTCCTTCACAGCTTCTTGTGCAGCCGCAGCCTCCTCATGAGCTGGGAAGTGCAAGAAGCAGAGAATGCTTTGACTCTATAGAAACATTGTTCAGCACCAGTTAAAATATCGGTGTGTTACCAGCACCGTTTTGGTAAGTAATCCAAAACACAGCACCACACTTGCTGCTATGAAAAAAATTAACTCTCCCTGCCAGACTCAATACACAATTTGTAGAGTAAGTTTCAAGTGGAACTAAACCTTGTAAATATTTAATTTGGTCAGAAGTAAGGTTTTAAAGTTGCAAACTGTACTGAGTCAAACTCATTAAGAATGGATTAAAAGCTTTGACTTTTAGATTTTATTTTCCAACGTGCTTATGTCTTCAGAAAATAATTCAAGTGAATGAATTATGTCAAATTTTACAGGGTAGCACTTTTTAAATCAACAATATCCTTACTGGAGTTTTTGCACTTCAGTTATGCAATCTGTTTAAAAATCATGTTATTGTTGACTGAAAGCCAGCAAGTCTGGAGAAGCACTTCTGAGTCTTTTGTTCTTTGAAATGCAGCAAGTTTCATAAAGGCATTGCTATCCAAATGGATTTTATTCATTTAATAATCCTCATTGCCAGTATACCAGTCAAAGGTGCTCTATTTACTAATATAGTGAGACTTCAAATTCCTACCCCAGTAATATTGTTTCTGACTATTGTAATTAATGCATTCCAGTTTCACAAGCTTGAAATATAACAGGAGTTAGTTCCCAGTAGGTTTGGTTTTGCGGGAGTCTTTTGTATACTTTTTTAGAATTCACTCATTACCCATACCATGCTTTCTTTAGAGACTTTCTTTAGTGAAGCCATGTACTCTGGCAAACACAGCTATTGGTATCCTATTAATGCTTTAAAGCTAAAAACTTTGTTATAGGCAACTGGGGGAAGTCTGTTCATCAGCTTACACAAACACGGTGTTGTCATCGACATGGTACATTCATATTATGCATTCTGTCTTCAGAAACTTTAGAGCTGAAAGTACTTTTCCTTATGAAATTAATTATAGGAATAATTCTATAATGCAATTATCAAATGTGAATCAAAATAATTGTACTGATTTTGACTGGGGTAGAGTTAATTTTCTTCACAGTAGCTAGAATGGGGCTGTGTTTTGGATTTGTGCTAAAAACAGTGTTGATAACCAGGGATTTTTTTAATTGTTGCTGAGCAGTGCTTGCACAGAGTTGAGACATTTTCTGCTTCTCACAATGGCCAGCTAATGAGTGGGCTTGGGGTGCACAAGAAGTTGGAAAGAGACACAGCTGGGATAATTGACCCCAGCTGACCAAAGGCATGTCCCAAACCATATGGTAACATGTAAAGCTGGGGGGAAAAGAAGGAGCGCATGTTTGGAGTGATGGTGTTTGTCTTTCCAAGTCCATTACATGATGGAGTCCTGCTTTCCTGCTGAACACTTGCCTGCACATGGGAAGTGGTGAACGAATTCCTTGTTTTGCCTAGTTTGCACGTGCAGCTTTTCTTTTACTTATTAAACTGTCACAACCCATGAGTTTTCTCACTTTTACTCTTCTGATTCTCTTTTCCACCTAATTGGTGAAGAATGAGTAAGTGGCTGCCTGAGAATTAGTTTCCAGCTGGGGTTAAACCACAACAACAGTTTAGGCAGGAAGTGACCAACAGGAGTAGTTTTCCTACCTGCTCACAGCAGGATCAACTCTGAAGTCAGATTAGGACATTCTGATTCTTTATCCAGTTAAGTTTTGAGAATCTCCAGGACAAACATAATTCAGCTGCTCTAAGCAATCCATTCCAGTGCTTAAATATCTTTGCTGTACATTTTTCACAACATCTATCCCTTGTTGCTGCTTATGACAATTGTCCCCTGTATGTTTGCTACGCACTCCTCAGAAGAGCTTGTTTCCTCTGTCCTCCCGTTAGCTAGTTGAAGGCAATGAGATTTTCTCTTTGTCTGTTTTCTTACAGAGAGGCATTAAAAATTCAGTTAATATAGTAAACTTCCTGACAAATTTATTGAGATTTCCAAGGCAGCTGATGATATTCAAATTATTTTTTTTTCTTTTGAAGTCTTCTGAAACCTTTTTACATTTTCTGCTTGGATAAGGCAGTAGCAGAAGATAAATTACATTTGAAAGAAAGCAATGATTTTTAAGAAAGTCCACTTACTTGAGGACTAAAACCTATCAGTATTGAAAACTAAAGCTTGGTCCAATAGATAAGCCTGATTTAATCTTAAATCTCAAGTATAAAAATAAAAAGTTGCAGTTTCTGGGAAAAAGGCAAAGGCAAAGAACAGAGAAGATACTTTTGTTTTTGATATACGCAGGATAGTTTTCCTGTTAGTTTTTTTTTGTTATTTTTTTTTGTGAAGTATTAGTAATTATCCAGTATGTTTATCGTCAGTTCAAGAACAACAGACCTTGCAGCTGAAATTGCTCATCTGCAGAGATTAAATCTACTTCATCCTCAGCTTGATCTTAATCAAAAGATCACTCAAGCTGCACGAATTTCTTAACAGAAGCTAGAGATACAATCGGCCTTATAACACCCTGAGAAGCAGAAAGAAACCTGAAGGCATGCTCTTCATTTCTGAGAGGCAACAAGTAATGCATTTCCCCTTGATAGTCTGAAAGAAAAAGCAAAGAATAACAGCTAGTTTCAATCTTGTACTAATAGAGCCATTTAATTAAAAAAAAAGTGTTACTCTCTATTTCAATTTAGGAAGAATTTCCTCCTTCAGGTTTATCTGTGCCCCCATTTCTTTTATGATGTTTCTGGACAGGGGAGGAAGAGAGGCAGGGAATAGAATGACGAACTACCTTATAGTGAATTTGAATAATATGCTTGGGAAAATATCCACCCAAGCAAAGATGAAGCTTTACCTTAAGGAAGGTATAACAGTTTACTTACCATTTGATATGCAGGTCAGTGAACATAAAGATTAGTTCAAACTTATTCAGCTACATATTAAGTGGGGCAAGAATATAGCATATCAGGTAACATATGATCTTGGAAGGTTTGGTGTTAACACTTGAATCAATTTATGAAATATCTTCTGATAAAAAAGTTTATATTTGAAAAAAAGTAACATTTGAAAAAATGGTCATCCATGTGCTAGTCTACTTTTGAAAGTTCCTATGTCAACACAACTCCTCATCACATAAAGAAACTGGCAGTCAGTAACTGGACATGGTTCTCGTTTGACAGGATCTCTTAGTAATAGCTTCATATCTACAGGTGATATTCTCCAAAGAAACCATAATTCGGGGGGATTTGCATGTCAATAAATAGAATTTTTCATATTTTTATATCTATTAATAGGAATTTCTAGGTTGGAACTTAATAGACATTGTAGGACTTGAACTTCACACCATTCCACATCTCATGTAGAACTTGACACCAAGGTAAAGCCAGAGCTCTTCCAAGCATGCTCAGAAATCATGAGCTTTACTTTGGTGGCAGAGTGCATTCCCATATCATGGCCATATTCCCTCAGCTATGGTCTCTAAAGCTTACATATCCCGTTAGGCATTGTCCGGCATCGGAGTGGACTGCCCAGGGACATGGTGGAGTCACTATCACTGCAGTGGTCAAAAAACAACTGGATGTGACACTTAGTGCTACAGTCTAGTTGACAAGGTAGCGTTTGGTCAAACGTTGGACTCGATGGAGGTCTTTTAATGATTCTGTGCTTCTATGATTCTAATTAATGACTGACAGCACTTTTTTAACTTCACAGGCTACAACCAGGGACATTCACACATCCTAGACGACGACCCGTTAGGAGGAAAAAGAACTGACAACCATTAAAAGAAGACCACGATTTCACGGACGCTGGGAGGGCTACAGGGCTCGCCGAGCCTCCCGAAGGACCGGCAGCCCCGCTCTCCTCCCGCCGCCTCAGGTGCGGCGCCCCCGCCCGCCCCCGCTCCGCGCTGCAGCGCCCCCCGCCGGCGGCGGCGCCGCGCCCCCGCCGCGCGCTGATTGGCTGGCGGGGCCGGCGCTCTGCGGCGCTGTGGCGGCCCGGCTGGCGGCGCGGGGGGGCCGAGCCACCCCCGCCGCGGGACCCCGAGCAGCCCGCCCGCCCCTCCGCGGGCGCTCCGCGACCGGCCGGCGGGAGGAGGAGCGGGGAAAACACGGGGGTCTCCTCCTCCTCCTCCTCCTTGGCTTCCGCGTGCGGCGGCGGCGGCGGGCGCAGCATCCTCGAGAGCGAGAGGCCGGGAACAAAGGCTCCGCGCCAGCCCCGGCGGCTCCACCTGCCCTGCCCAGCGGAGATGGCGTCCCTCGGCTTAGGGGGGCTCAACGTCTCCGCCCGCAGGAAGAGCGTCCCGTCCCGCAATGCCGCGGTGGAGAGGCGGAACTTGATCACTGTGTGCAGGTGAGCCCCGGGCCCTGCCCCCCCCGAGGGCACCGTCCTTTCCCTCCTCGCTCACGCTGCTGCCCGGGGGCCCATCCCACGCCCCCTGGCCCCGCACAGGTGGGTCGGGGGCGGGAGCGCGGGTGGCCTCCCCACCGCAACCCAGTCGGGGGAGCCAGGCCGGGGGTAGGGCAGCCTCCTCCTCCATCCATCCATTCATCCATCCATCCATCCATCTATCCATCCGTCTATCCATCCATCCATCCTGACTCAGCTCCTGCTGGAGAGTGTCCAGGCGGCAGCGAGGGGCAAGGGCTCACCGGGCAGCCCCACTGGTTCGGAGCGTCAAATGTGGGTTTTTTTTGTTTGTTTGTTTGTTTGTTTGTTTGTTTTGGGGGGGGGGACTGAGAGGTTATTTTGGGGCACGATGCTTGAGCTCTCGGGCGCAAGGCGTGTTTGGGAGCAGGGCAGGCTGAGCCCTGGGCAGCGCCGATCGGACGCCGATCGGCAGAGCTGGAGCAGCGGCCGCTTCCCTTCGATGGCCGCGGTCCGGCCGCGTGTGCGGTTCAGGCTTCATACGAAGTCTCGGACGTGAAGGCGTTCGAACCCTGTGGAAGCGGCCGAGCGGATGCTCCTGCGAACGCGCCAGCGCCGCAGGAGCATCCCGGGGAGGCTGCGCTCCGGGATATTTTTATCTCCGAAATCTAGATCAGGAGATCTGCAGTACGGACTAGAGCTACTGTATTCGAATTTTTTTTTTTTTTTTTTTTTTTTTTTTTTTTTTTTTTTTTTTTTTTTTTTTTTTAGCATCTTAGTGCTGAGCTTATGCGAGCTTAATAGTACGGCGTTCCGTGGAAGCGTTTCCACTGCTGTCACTGTGGAATTCACGCAGCGTTTTCCAGGTGTGCGGCACTGACCCGTTACGTCATGGCAAACTTTTGAATACGGGCATGTGCTGGCAGCAATGACTCCGTTCGTTTGGTCCTTTGTTTCAATTGCTTAATTTTGAAGTTATCAAACTAATTTGCATATTATCTGGGAAAGGTCTTCAGCAGATCCATGCGGGTTAGGATATAGTTTTAATGTTCAAAAATTTTAATAAACAGCCAGGACAACTATTAAATAATTTTGTACTGTCACCACTTAACGCTGCAGCAGTATTTAAAAACCCATAGGACCCCATATCTTCCCTTTTTTCTTTTCTTTTTTCTTTTATTGTATATTGTTAAAAGGTTTTACAGCTGACTCCATCGTTCATCTACTGCATAGAATTTGCTTCAATATTCCTTGAAGTCGTAGCATGTGCATTTCAGAATAGCATCAGTGCTATTCTTTTTCCAGGCTTTTGTGCTTACTTCTGTTTCTGCCTGTGAAAAAGATGTGCAACAAAAACAAAAAGGAAGATTTTTCTCAGACTTGCTGAAGCAGAGCAAATTAAAGGAGTTTTCAGTTTCACTGTTGTTACAGAGATGCAGATATTGTCAGTCTGTGTGCTCAGGAAAACACCAGTCTTATCAAGTAATGACACAATCATACAGGATATAAACAGTTCTTTTTAAAAGAATATATTGTACTCTACAGAACTTGCTAGATTTTTCTGCCTCCCATTTGAGGCAGTACTCTTCTATATTCTGTACTGTTACATTTTAGTTTTTGTTTTATCGTTATCTGCAGTTGAAATGATGGTGTAATGTATTTAAAGATGCTTAGAAATCTGAAGGAATACAGTCAGTCATTTATAAAACAGGGAGCTACTGCAGAAACCACTTTAAATTGGTGTATTTTAATTATTTTTTGTGTGAAACAGTTTGATTTTGCTCTATCTTCCCAAAATCTGAAGTCCTTAGTTTGTGAATACACATTAAAATTCGGAAAGGATGTTGAGGAAAAACAATTTTGCATTATTATGATGTGCGTACATTTGTTTATATTTTTATTCTTCTGCCAATGTAAGACTAAATATTTAAAAGATTTCTGTGCTTTGCTGTAGTTATTACACATTTTCTATTATAGAAAAGTGTTCCTTTTTAGGAATACTCATATTAGTATTGAAAAGAGTATGATAGTAGTCCATTCCAATCAAAATCCTATGAAAATGTGAAGTATTTTTGGTAAAAAATAGCTCCAATCATATGATTCAATGAAATTTGAATGATATGGCTTGCTACCCAGTGAAGAGGAAAGATCACAAGGAAGATATTCTTCTGAGTTACCATTTGTTAACAGTCTCTGATAATTTTATGATTTTTTTCCAAAGTTTCAACTTAGCAGATTTTTACTTAGTAGTTAAACCAGACTTTGGGATTTTCACCTTTTCTTACAGTGATGATATCTAACTCCTCCTGAAGGTGTGGATAGTTTCTTATATTTACAGTTTCGAAAGGAACAGTTTGTTTCCACTATAATGTTGAAGGTCACTGTAGTCATGGAAAGTGACATAGATGCCTAAGTTCCATAAACCAGTTGCATGTGAAAATACATGGCTATGTTTGTGTAACTGCACAGCTGTCATTTAAATTGGAACAATTCTTGGGATTTTCTTGTTTGAGTAAGCAATACATGTTCTAAGCTCTATCTCTCCTCTTACCTTTTTTCCCTGAAGTTTGATGCCTTTCATTTAACAATAAGTGGTGCTGAGATTTTATGGTGGTTATAGATTTTTCAAGTTGTTTTAGTCCATAAGATTCATAGATCAGAGATCCATGTAGATACAGAACCACCAAAAAAGAAGGCCTTGGAAGTGATGTTCATAGTTTAAATGCAGAATGTTGACACAGAACTGAACAACTGTCAATATATTGACAGTATATATTTTTAAAACAGTGATTTTGCTAATATTCATGAGAACTTCTGCAGTGACATTGACCCTTAATTGAACTGTCTGGTTTCATGTCATGTTTAGCATAAAGGATATTATTCTATAATCTTAGGGATTATTCTAAACTAATAGTTTGTATTCTTCTAAATGGCATTTTAATGACATTTCACAAATTGCAAGCGAAATAAATTTGACAGAATCCTTTAATTTATTTGAAAACTTAAAAGGAGGAGCAGAATTTGACAATGAAAAGTGACAAATTCATACAGCAGTCTAATTTTCTGTTTTTTTACTTTTTGATTAGAAGCTTGTTGCTGTTTTGGAAATAAACCTATACATGTGGGATATATCCACAAAAGGTTTGGCGTTGGTTTGGAGTTATATAGGAAATTTGGGAGACCTTCTTGTGCATCTTGCAAAACAGGGCAAGACTCTGCCCCAAAAAGATTAAGTCTTATTTAAGAATGTTTCCATCTTACATAATTCAGAAGGTCTTTTTAAGGTTGGAGAATAATGCTGTTTCTATATCTTTTCTTTGGCTCAAACAAGAGTAGACTCATGATAGAGAAGAATATGTAGGAATCCAAAAACATCAGGGTTAATGAAGGTCATTTAGAAACACTGATATTGGAATCTCTCCAATGGCAGTTACTATATTTAAAAAAAATCCAAACCAAACAAAACCTTATTGTTGCAGGAACACAATGGAAAATGATTGGAAAAAAACCTTTTTTTTTTTAAAGAGCCTTGAAGCAACAGGTATTGGAGCTTTATTACTCCTCTGCTCCTATAGTCCACCAAAAAGTTAATTTTAGAAAATTTTTAGTTTGTTTTCAAACCACTTTGCTTTCTCATGCTCTTTTGTTGCAGTTTCTCTATTAATTTCTGACATGTAGTGTGGACTGTTGCACCAGCGAGGCTTAGACTGGATATTAGGGAAGATTTCATTGCTGAAAGGGTGGTCAGGCATTGGAACAGAATGTGCAGGGAAGTGGCGGAATCGCCATCCCTGGAAGTGTTCCAAAAACGTGTGTGTGGCACCTGGTGACATGGTTTAAGTGGTAGACTCGGCAGTATTGGGTTGACAGTTGGACTCAATGGTCTTACAGGTCTTTTCCAAACTTAAAGGTTCTACAAAGTTTGGAGCAACAAAGGGAACCAAGAAAACAGCTCTAGCTCTACCTATATGGACATTTTTTTCTTCATAGCTCTTGTGTACTTTAGACCTGACCTTTTGTTTCTTGACTTTCAGTCCCCATGTGGTTCCACACAACTGTGCAAGAGCGTGGACTTTCTTGTTTGGGGGGCTGTACAGTGGAAACTACACATGAGGCATCATTGATGACTGAGGGAAATGCTTACCCAATGCTTACACTGTAACTTTTTTCAAAGGCAAAACTTCTACATACCCTAAATCCTTTTTTCCAGTCTGCATGGTAAACGTGATGAAGTGTGAATATCTAACACGCAAAATGTGCTTACGACTCTTAACTTGAACTTAGAGATATGTTTGCCTCTTTTTAGTATTTGGAGGAAAAATAGACAACTCAGAAGTATTTGCTTAAGAGGCTGGGGTTTTTTAAGTCTCCAGAAAATATTTCTGGTGAATCACATTTTGCCTGATAGTGTCATTATCTTCCTGGTCTATGGCAATAAGGGGTACATACTTGCACTCCCTGTCAGTTCTCCTAAAAGACAATTTAACCTAACTTGACAGAGCTATAAAGGTTGCTTAGGTTTGTGGTGAAAGTGTAGAGTAGAGAGATGAAAATTAACATATCCATGGGGTACGTGGTGGCAGTAATATGAGCACTTAAAAAGAACGCCATTATTGATAATGAGTATGATTGGACCCAATGTATGTAAAAATTGTTGCCTCCTTAAAAACTAGATTTTTTTTCCTTCAGTTGAATTGCAGAATGCTTTAAAATTGAGAATATAAAATAAATTGCTTATCTGATTTTTAGAAGTGTTTGTGAAATTGATCTCAAGTGTTTCTTCTTGAATATATTGCCATTTCTGAATGGCTATTGGATACAATATTAATCAGTGAACTATTACGTAGGTCATTGAATACAGGAAAAATAGGCATAGCTATATATTGTACTCTACTTTGTTTTGCAGTTTATGCATGATCCTTTCTCTGAGTTTTAAGATAGTATTCCTGTATATAGTGCACTACATCACACTGCTAGTTCACTGCCTATCTTGTGTATGTATCCCTGAGTGAGTGAAATGCTGCACTTTCCCTTTTTCAGACCTGCACGGTGTAAGAGGAGTTGTCTTCTTTCAGTTAATATTGACTTAGTCATGGCATTGCTATATGAATTTGTTTTCTAAAATTTAGAAGATTTTTTTTGTAGATAATTTCATGGCTCTGGTATAACTTTGAGGAAGCAATAATTTCTGCCATTGGAGTAGTCAATAGCAGTTAACTGGTGGGCATGCATGTCTCTCACTTACTCAAAATTGGTTAAAAATGTGGAGGAGTTCAAAACTGAGTCATAACTTGGCACTGCAGGAGATGCTTCCTCCCCCACCCTAGTTCACTCCTAATTCCTGTCCTGCCAAAACCACTACAATAGAAGCCTCCGGGAAAGGTAAAACAGGGAGTCTTTATTCAGAAGTTTAATGAGTATAACAAATTGAGTGGAAACTCTTGAGATAAATGTCAATTCAGTTTGAGCATATTAGCTTCGTTTAGTAAATGAGCATCAAGAGGCTGTGCTGACTGCAGTAAGGAGGCATTTAAGTTACTTTTATAGTACAGAGCACCTGAAACTAGTATGGCTGGTTTAAGGAGTTTCATTCCTGCCCATGCCTATGTCATTTGGTGCTTCTGCAGCTGTGCCATAGAACTGTTTGTGTTGAGATGCTGTGACGTGTACTTATTGTGAATGTATCCATATTTAAGAGACACTCCTTCACCACTCCTTTCTAGTGCTGAAAATTTAGAACAGTTAATAGTGAGCCCCAGAAAAAGTAGAACTGGCAGAACGGAGGAAGCCAATGTGCTCAGGTATGGGATCTTGGATGAGCAGGCAGAGTGAAAACATCCCAACATTGTTGAGGGTTGGATCTTGTGAAAACTATTTCTTCAGGCTCTGGTACGGCTTTATTCATACAAATAAGATTGCTGCCAAAAAACCCACAAGAAATGCTTCAAAATAAGTGTTACTTTCAAATTTGAGAACATATGAAATTTGCCTTGAAACTGAAAACTGAGGAACTAGGAGCAGAAAAGAAAATAAAAATGGATTATAATTAAAATTATGAAAGCAAAAGAAAATAATTTTTTGTTATGCTTTTTGAGGTTTAAACTATCTTCTGAATAAGAATAAAACTGTAAATGCAGGTGTAACTAAACACAACAAACAGCCTAATTGACTAGTTACATTTTATCATCATTTACAGTGGCTTGATTCAGTCTTTCCAGTTTCAAATGTTAGATCATTTAAATTGATAGCTTTTCTAGTATAATAATGTAGTAATATATGGTGCTGAATACCCCCATTCAAAGGGAAATCAACCTACATTAATGCACAGAGTTAACCGTGCATAAAAATTCGTTGTTTTATAATATGTCTGGATTATTTTTGCATTAGGATGAAATTACAATGTTTTCTAAATACAGTAAAGTTTATAGTTCTGATTCTTGGGCATGGATTTGGGGAATAAAAGAAGCATTGACAAAATGTCAAACAAAAAATCAGTATGTTTAGGATTACAAAGAGATATGGATGTTGGATGCTTCCAAGTGCTCGTTTTTCTATAACTTCATTAAAATAGTTTAGGGAAGAGGAAAATAATTAGCTCATTTTTATGTGGAATGGGTGGGGATTTTTGTTTTCTTTCAGGTTTTAAGGCTTTATACCGAAGACCAACAATGATGATTGTACTTCCAGCCTATTTCTCAACATGTTTTGTGTTCCTGTTGCTCTGACTGAACTTGAAATCATCAAGGTTGTTTCTGGTTCTTTGATCTTTTGGTTTAAATAAACTACTGCCCTGCTATAGAGGACCAGTAGCTATTCATATAATTTATGATGGTCCTGTACTTTTGCTCTAGGTTTTCAGTCAAGACTCTGATTGACCGTTCCTGTTTTGAGACTATTGATGATACTTCCCCCGAATTTAATAATTTTGCAGCCATTCTGGAACAGATTCTCAGTCATCGACTGAAAGGTATGTTAATAAACTTCCTTACTGGTGATGATTTTGCCTTGATAATTTCTTTATAATAAACCAGAGTACATCTACAAACTCCTTGATCATGAATGAAAGCATTGGCTTTCTTTGTGTGTCTGTCCCATCGCTGTTACCTTCCTGATTTTTTACATTACTGTGGAAAAGTGGAAGCAACTGTTTTTTGTGAAACACGTTTCCAGTGATCTGGTTGGAAGCCTTCTGGGTTGGTAATTAAGCAAGTGAATGTTGCCATGGTGCTGAGCTCTGTCTGCTTTTCTGCTTTATGATAAGGCCGTGTCCTAAGAGTCTGAAAGACAATCATAGTGTTATTGGCTTTAATAGAAGCTATAGAGAGCATCCCTTTTCTTTCTCCCTTTCTTGCTTTTGTTGCTTTCTTTTCCAGAGACTGTGTTCAGGTCCTTAAATTCCTGTCCCCCCACTCCTTTAGTGAACATGTTTTTTGCTACTAGAATCTAATGGATTAAATTGCTAATTATATGATTAAATTTAGAAAGGTCAGTTGTTGATTTTCTTCTTGTCTCGAGTCAGATGTTCTAATTGAAGAAAATGTCTGTTTGCTTTTTCCAGTTGTTCTAGAGGAAGCTGCTTTGTTCAAGGAACAGAGTGTGCCTTAGCAGGAACAGTCACTAGAAGAAGACTTTGGAAGCTTCTTCTCATTTTCAGTTCTGTGTACAGTTTCAGAAATATTTGAGGATTATGAAGGACATGAGAATCATCTAAATCATCATGGCTAGGCTTCGCGATCATCTAAATATAGATGTGTAATATGACAATCTACTCTTTTTCATACTTTTTAATATTCATAACTAAGCTTTGTGAACAATATTGTGTGTAGGCTGACATTTGAGTAGCACAATTACTACCTGCTGTGGTTCTGTCAGAGGAGAAAAAAAAAGTCACACAGTGGGGTGGAAACATAGGGTTTGTCACATTGTGACAAAGATTATTGGAGTGATTATGGGTACTTAGCTGCTTGACACTGCAGGGAAATTGCTCTCTTTTCTCATTCTCCCCCAGCTTCAGTGATGTTTGAGCAAAAAACATTATGCATTTTATTTTTTCCAACCAACATTCTTTTGCTTCGCAGGCTATTATTCAGGACAAGGAGTACAGAGAAGCCTTGACAGGTTGGCAAATGGGTTACCGGCAAATAGAATTTGAATTTCTCCATTTCTTACTTGAAATAATTTTTTACTTGCAAACAGCTAAATTATTGTCTCGGTCTTCCCCTTGTAATTGCTACTGTGATCTTCTAAATTCTCAGATTTAAATAAAAATCCATAAAAAGGCAGTAACTTGTGCATAGTGTTGGAAATGGGGAATATTTTGGTAATAAGCTAGTTGACTGTGGGTAGCTTTGAAATAATAAACCAGAAATTGAGATAATAAATGAGAATTCGAACTTTAAGACGGTATATGTTATATAACACAGGGCTTGAAAGAAATTGTATTTTACTGATGGTAATTACTAATATATCCTGAATGCATACTCTTTGTCAGTAGGAGCACACTAAGGGCAGACTGGCTCTTGCAGTAGTTTGTGTAAAGTGTTTTGAAACTGGCAAAACATACCTGATGTGTTTGTTTATGGTGAGATACACGGCTTCATTGTATCAAACTTGTCAGGATAATCCCGTGGCAATGTAGTTAAATGGATGATCCAGATTTGAGAGTTTAGGGTATATAGAACTTTACTTTCTTAAGACCATGACAAACAACAGTTCTTAATCTTTACTTCCTTTGGAAGTACTGGGTGAGGAAGAAAGAATAAAAAAAAAGTGTTTTCTTTGCATTAATGACTACTAAGTTTACTTTTCTAATAAAACTTTTGCTGGTAACTTTTTCGTACATTAAATTTAATAAGTTTTTAAGGAGCAAAGCATAGTCTTGATGGAATATAGTGACTGTTTCTGCTTATTGTTTTCATGTTTAATTAGGATCCAGACAAAAAAAACCCAATTAGCAACAGGGATTAAGATTTGATGCTTTTTTTAAAACCATTGCAATTAAAAATTCTGAAATAGTAGTTCTCCAACCTTCATCTTGCTGGGTGTTGTGCTAAAAATGCCTGTTGCAGCAACACAAACACCATTTAAAAATGGATTTTTAGTAGGTAACAGATCTGATGCTGTCAACTCCCAATAGCAAAAGGGCTATGAAATAGCATTCTTAATGGTTTTGTTGATTTGCTTTTTCCATTCAGTATCACTGAATAATTAGGTTTGGACAGTTTCTTACAAAGTCATCCAGTCCTACCTCTTGCTCAAAGCAGGACTGTCTCAGATTGCTCACGACATTTTCCAGTTATGTTGAAAATCTTCATGACACTTCTTAAACTCAGTGCAGTTTGCTACGTTTTTTTTTTTGTTTGTTTCCTCCTCTCATTTCGTGCTTACCTTTCCCTAAAATTGGCTGTAGTCTCCAATGTATCCTGTAGTGAGCCAGATAGAAAGCCAGATATGCAGCAAACTAATCACTTTCCCCATGGATGCACTTTTTTAGCTCAGCTGCTCATTTTCTTAGGAGTGTTTTTGATGTGGGTGTTTGCTTAGTAATAAAATGAGATTGGTGGAAATACATTATTAGCTCACACAAGAGAAGTCTTGTGTGAATGCTGCTTAAACATAGATATCTGTTCATGTGATACAGAAGACTTGGTACATATGGCACCAAAATAGTTCCCAAAAAGGTAGCACAGTATGCTATGGCACTACCTTACAGTTGCATGTACACCACTGACAGTAAGCAGCAGTCAGGAAGAGGCAGGCCACTGTTGTCAGTAAAAGCAGTCTGGCTCACAAGCTATTTTGAATTGCCCTAAGGAAGAGAGGGAGTTTGAGCAATCTGTATTAACTGTCTTTTCAGGCATTGCAAGCTACTGACCGCCTTATGATCTAGAAGGAGGAAAACTGTGTCCTGGTACTGTATGTGCAGTATACCTGGTACTCCCTAGGACTGCTGGATTTGTTGAGAATGCAGAGTAGATCAAAGATTGTAATAAGGAGGATATAAAGTATGTGTCCTTCTTGTCATTAAAGTAAACCATGTGACATGCCTGCTGGCAAAATAAGATACTACTAGAAAGGACAGTTGAAGATCTTGAGAAAGTAGGAGAGAAGGAGTAACAAAAAAAAAAAAAAAGAGTGACTAATTACTCTTTTATTCCTTCTCAAGAATTTTCATGGTTTTGTAATATAGCAGAGACTAAGTGTTATTCTGGGAGGGTACTATGTATTTTGAAGATCTCAGGACCAAATAAGACCTATAGTCTTGAAAGGAATTTTACAAATCTATATATAAATATATGTGTGTTTGATAATCTTAAAGCAGGGTGAGTAACTTCAAGATCTGTTTTTTTCCCAGATACATGTTTGGAATTTGTTCTTTCTTAAACCATTCTGTACCACAGAGATAAAACTGTATCTTGTAACTGACTGCATTGTTTCTTGTTTTCACTGCTGGCCACAAATTTTTCAGGTATTTTTCCTGTAAGCATCTTTTTTATAATATCAGCTAAGGAAATACAGGGGCATCAGAAGTGTTCAGCAACAGTACTTGGGATTTGATCTCAGATCTCAGGTGTTTCCTAGCTCATTTAAAACCTGAAGTCATTTCAAAGTGATATATATTTTGTCTTTACTCTTGCCTTTTTTTATCACTTTAAATTAGTGTTAACTGAGTTTATACTGAAAAATATGAATAACTATTGTAGATTTTTATGGCCATCTCAAACGTTTCTGAAAGCTAGTGTCATGTGTACGTATTTGTTGACTTATGATGTTTTCACTGTAATATCCTTTACAGCACAAATTATTGATATCCGAACTGCTAGCTAGTATGCATACTTAGAAATAGTTTTGATGTATGAATTCTGTCACAATGTATCTAGTGCATCATGTTTGTGACTTCTGTAATTTTTGCATATCATGGTTACTGTGAGCGCACTTGTCATCCGTACACTTACTTGCATTTACCACCATGATGACACCAGACAGGATGCTGTACTGTGCTGTTTTGACATTTTCACAACTTTTTGTACCTTTTTTCCTTTATGTTTAGAAGGCATTGTGAACACATCAAAAGCTTCTGCTAGAGTTGCCCATGGAAGCTGCTTCTCTCTATCCAGTCTATGTTTTTCCTAATTTTAATGACTGTGGAGTTTTTTTTCTTGCTTTTTTTTTCTTTCAGAAAGACTACAATGAGCAGTATACTTTTAGGGTGATTAGTGCTGCTTGAGTGGAAAGATAAATGTGATAATTCTCTTTTTTTTCTCATCCTATAGAATGTTCTGGTTTCATATGTCATCAACAGTCTGGTGATAGTAATGGTAAATGGCTGTACTAGTGATGTCACTGCTAAATGTTCAGGTTTTGCTCTTCATAGTAAGGGGAATTATTAAATGATAATCTGAAACTACAGTAACTGAAGCTCCTTGGAATTTTGTTTTCTTTGACATATTGAGTAATATATGTTAATTTGTCCTGCTTGCCTTTTTTTTTTTTTTTTTTTTTAATAAGTGTTTTATCAAGCTTTGAATTTAATAAATATGTTTGTGTGGCAAAGTAAGCAGATGGATCGCAACGTCAAGTTACATGCACCCTCTAGGTGAAAAAAAACGCTGCCACTTGAATTTCTTCAGATCACAGGGGACAGATCTTTAACACTACTTTGGCTATGCCTGGAGATAAATCAAGTAATGTTAAATAAAAAATCCTTGTCATCATGTTTTGGCATTTTATTTCCAGTATATATGATTTACTGTATCAGTCTAATATACTCTTTCTGGAAATTTGAGCTTTGTAACAGCAAAAGAAGTAGAAGTCTTTCTGATACATTATTGGAGCTTCTGAAGTATAACTCAAGACTTGAAATAAAATAAAATTAGCTTAAAAATAAGATCTCATTTTATATGGAGAAAAGGTTTTGCACATAGTAATGATGGCAGTCACCAGAGGGCAATGTTCACCTTACTTGTTACATACCTTTTTGCAGGTGTGTACTAAGTGTGAACATTGTGCTCTTCAGTGTGAAAAACAGGTCTGAACTGTTGTGGCTGTGATGAAATTTATTTTGTGTGGAGGGGTCACAAGTAGTATGTAACTTTCCCTTTCATTTTCTAACTGCAATACATTGCAAGCTGGAAGAAATATAAAGGATTTTGGTTAAAGTTCCAGGAGAGAGAATGATTTGCTCAACTCATTTTGGTCAGCTTCCCAAGGAGAAGTGTACTTACAATAAATTGTGTCTGCAAAAATTTTTTGAATGTGGATCAATTTCTCCTGCAGTGAAAGCACATTTTTTAAACTTCCAATCTGCTCTTAAAATAAAGATACCACTGCCACAGCCGACTGGTATTTTATATTTTTATTTAGTAATTTTTTTGAAGAACAAAACTCTCACTACTTGATTGTATTAGTGAAATGTGTGTACTACCTAAAACAAGTGGCAGAAATACTTTTTGCATCATATTTTTAAGTCTCAACAGTCTGTGCTCTATTGTGATTTAAGAGATCTGTGAAGAACTCTTGTGTATTGTTGTAGGATACTAACAAGGAAAAAAAACAGTAAGGTACACATAGGTAAACAAAAGTCCCAGACTTCTCTTTGTGCATCGCTTTCCAACCAGGGTGAACTGCATAATGCAAATTTTTTTACACCTGTGAGGCAGTTTTCAGTAGGAATTTATGGACTTGCTTGCATAAGATTCTGTCAGTACAGGAAACATTTAGAGGAGTATTGAATTATGTTTATCTCCAATAAGCAGAAAGGGAGGTTCATAAGTTTTTAAATATCTTTTATTTTGATTAAAGGTCAGATCACCTGGTTCGGCTATGAAAGTCCTCGGAGTTTCTGGGACTACATTCGCGTAGCTTGCCGAAAAGTCTCGCACAATTGCATCTGCAGCATCGAGAACATGGAGAATGTCGGTTCTTCTAGAGCTAAGGTAGGGAAGAGAAAGGTTAAACAGACTGTTCTGTATGAAATACAACTGATATTTCTGTACCTGGAACAAAACCATATTACTAAGCTTACCCCACAAATTTTTTGGTTGCTTGAAATTTTTTTTTTTTGGTACCTAGTAAATACTTACTTTTTAAAAATCCACTTTTAAATCTGAATGTGTTTACTTTAAAATTTATGTTGTTCAGTAGAAAAAATTCTGAAATTGTCTATTCAGTGAGCGAATTGTGTTATAATATGATTGTCTTCATGGTTTTGGCCTTATGTAATTTTTTGAAAATGCAGTACGTTGAGGGAAATTAGGTTCCTGCAGGCCTACCAACAAATATTATTTTAAAATTGTAGAAATGTGATGACTTTATTTCTTTCCCCTCCTAATAGTTTTATTTGGTGTATAATTTATGCACAAATAGAAAAGGTATGATCAGCTTTTGAGTATGTTGGTGTGATTGTGCAGGAATCCTATCTAAATAATAGATTTATTTGCTAATAAAGATCTGTTATTTTAAAGGATCTACATAAAAATAACATCATTATTTGTTGAGGTACAATGGAAATCATAAGGAAGTAACAATTTATTGTGTTTATAGGCATATGAACTGAATAAGGATAAGCTTTAAACTGACCTATCGTTGAATCTTAACAGTGAGAGACAGCGTAGACCAGCATCCTAAAAAAGTACTGTTGGACAGAGATTACAAGTTTTTTTTTCTACTAGATTGGAATGCTTTTCAGTAGCTTTTACTTCTGTGTAAAGCAGCCTTGATTGATAACTTAGAACCTTTTGACTTTTTGAAAGTAGCATAAGAGAATGCAACAATTAATGTTCTTAATTATTTTTATTCCTAAATGAACTGAAATCAGTTGCTGTGTATCACTGCTATTTTGAAAGCCCCATAGTTCCAGATTTTTATAATACTTTGGATTATTCATTGTTGGTGTCATTAGTGAGGTGGAAATACTTAGCTTGTTGTGTTTTTTTGTAGGGTTTTTTTCAGGGGCGTGACTGTCGTTAGTGCAATTTAAATCACAGGTATTTATGCAACCAGTTTTTTTCAATAAAAGTTGCTTAGATCAAGCAACACCATGAATTTAGAAAATCTTTGAGCACTCTGATGATCCACAGATTGCAGAACAGTTTATTTGCTGTTTCTACTGTTGTTCCTTTCTTTCTTTGAATAGACTCAGTTTTATATTTTATATTGTAAATGTATCTGTAATTTGTGTGAAAGCTTTGAAACACCTGAGGTTCTATGACAAAAGATTTTTAACTGGCTTTCCTATCCAGAATACTGCATCTCTTCCTAACCCTCTATGTACTGGAGCAATAGACTGATAATTTGTCATGCAGCTTTTTTCCTTGCTTGCATTGAGATCTGGAAATTCAAATAATTTGGAAAATTTATTTCCAAATGCTTTCTGGAGAAACACACGTTCTATAATCTGATGAATCCATTGCTTATATTTGAAATTTAATTTAAAGATGTTTATGAAGTCTTAAGGATTTAATAGATGTGGATGTTTAAATTCAGTAGGTAATAATATGCAAAGCTATTTTCTGAAATGTTCTTATAAATAAATCAAAATTTTCTTTTACTCTGTGGAAAACTTCATGCCAAATAGTAGACCAAGAAGATAATTTGTGCAGTGAGTGTGGAGAACAATGTTGAATTTTTTAAGGGAGTATTTTGGATGTCTGTATCCAGGAAGGTTGAGAGCATGTCAACACAAATACCAATCATATGCATCAGTTTGACTGTGGTCCAGATAAGTGTAGTCTTCAGCCTGGAAACTGTCAGCAAGGGTTTGCCAGTGCTAGTTGGCCCTGCTTTCACTGGAGGTGCATAGGTTTTAGTCCTTAGCTAAACAGCATCATCAGAGTTTGACTGTTTCACTCATGTTTTAAGTAGCTGCAACATAAAGGCAGCTACCTGGGTAAGCGTGTTTTTAATATTAGTGCACTCTATGTTAATTTTTTTGCTGTGCTGTTGGTATTTATATGAGCAATTTTTTTTGTGTTGCTATTTAGCATTTCATAGAATCACAGAATGGTTTGTGTTAGAAGGAAACTTGAGCACTGTGTGGTTTCAATCCCCCAGCCATGGACAGGGATACCTTCAATTAGACCAGGTCACTCAGAGTCCTGTCCAGCCTGACCTTGAGCACCTGCAGGGATGGAGCATCGACAGCTTCTCTGGGCAACCTGTTTCAGTGCCTCACCACCCTCACAGTAAAAAATGGCTTCCTAATATCTAATCTAAACCTTCTCTGTTTGAAGCCACTACTACCCCTTGTCATGTCACTACATTCTCTCGCAAACAGTCTCTCTCCCTCTTTCTTGTAGGCTCCCTTCAGGTACTGGAAGGCTGTAATTAGGCCACCCTGAAGTAGTATTATAATCTACTACAGGTTATTTTGGTAGAATGTCTGCAGTGATATTCAGCTAGATGTCAATAACCACCAAATATATTAAGCATGGAGACATCTTCCTACTTATATAACTGCTTGTAAGTTTATATGGATTACAAGAAATATTCCTAGTGTTCTCAAATGGACAGTCATAACTGTGGCAGCCATTTGAAATGTCTCTCTCTTGTAAAATACAATCCTGTGCATTAGACCTCTAAACACAGCACAGCATACTTTACTAACAGCTATTTTTTGTGTTATTGCTGTTGTTTATAAAACTGATTGAATGAAGTTTTGGGTTTGGACTACAAGATTTATGCCTTTTACATTTAATTTCGTGTCTGTATTTTATATGCACCTTCTAAAATAATGTCCTTACTGAGGGGAAAAATATTACATAATAAAAGTATGTCACTGAGTTATACTTCTTTTTTTTTTTATAAATCCCACAAATAGTTGATTGAACACAGAGAATTAGTTCTTACTTAAATCACTTGGAAGGTAGGTTACTGCTGCTTTACAGTGGAACCAGTTGGATGCTTCCAATACCATTGACTTTAAAATTAAAAGCTGTCTTCCCTGATCTGCTTCATCTTAAACATGAGATTTTCAAAAGGATGGAATATATAATTAAAGAAAAAAAAATTTCCCCCTTCAAATTTTGGAGAACTTTATTTAACAATAAAGTTTATTTGTGTCCTTGTAAGAATGCATTTTCTGTTTTCATTATTGCTGTACTGAAGTACATCACAGCAACCATTTCTGTTTAGTGGTAATTTCGTTAATCAGTTCATTACTCAGGTAAACAAAATGTATTAATTTTCATATGTAAAATTGTTTCCTTCTAAAATGTTTAAATATTTCATGTCTGTTTTGTCTTGCAGGGTCGAGCCTGGATCAGAGTAGCACTTATGGAAAAACATTTGTCTGAATACATTTCCACAGCTCTTAGAGACTTCAAAACAACCAGGTCTATAAAACTTATTTTTTCAGTATTTTAGTAAATGTTAAAGGAGGGACTTAGGTTTGGAAGTGAAGGTTTCTCCTGATTTGTGTAGTAAAGAATATAATTAATAAAAGAGCTGTAACCTAGTAAAAGATGTCTAGAGTTGGTATCAGTTTGACTTTAGCATGGGTAAAACTGCAAAATAGAAAATCCTTTTGTGATTTTAAAAATGTGGAAATAAGTCTGGAATTCTTGAAAGGTCAAAAGAAGAGAAAACCTCTGCAAAGAGGGACTGAATCTGAAGTTGTAGCATGATAAGGAGAGATGTGATATTCCTTTCAAGATTAGGTATTGTTGATAGAAAGACCTAGAGACTCAATAAAAAGTAATTTTTATAGGCACCTTTTCTGAAGAAAAAAGGAAGAGAATCCAGGAAACTTTTGAGAAATACAGAGTAACAGAATTAGTGATCAGACATAACTAGGATCTTGTAGCAGATTTTTTTGTAACTTCTAATGTAAAAACAGTTATGGGATGAGAATATACTATGTGATAGAAAATGCTTTGGCAGTTTGGGACTGGTTTTAGATAATGTAATTATTAGCTGATGTTTTATCTTGTAGTGAGTGTGTCTTGTAGATTTATGAAGAAGTAATCTAAGTTTGATTGAATCTATAATTTGTATCTTATGTTGAACGCTAAAAGTTTTAGACACACTGAATGGACTACTAAAACAATAGGAATTTTCTCTGTAAAGATTTCTGTTCATTTAGAGTATTGTATTTTAAACTTTTTTGTCCAGAGATCTCCATATATTTTGCAGCTCTTAAGGTGATTTTGAAATATGACTAGGTAAATATCCCATTTCACTGAAGTTTCAAAACCTGTTGTCTTATTTTACCCAGATTTGCTGACATTTACAGTAGACAAGAACCTCATAAAACAAAGATTTCTGGAAAATATTTACTCATGTTTCCTCAAACTGAAAAGTCATTTATGTTTTTGAGGTGGAGATGAGGAGGAAGAGTAGGGTCACAAATTATGTACTGTCCCTGTTTTGGTAATGTGCTTTGTTAGTGGCTAACAATGGTCTTATTTGATTAGCAGTTTCAAATTAATTTATTTGAGCATGTTAATGTTTAATATATTTAAATGTTCTTTCAGTGGTATAGCTTTTGGAAACAACCTCTCTTGCATTCCAAACATAGTAAGTGCAAAGTTTCTTTTGAAGTAATATTTTAAATACATCTAATGGAAATGAAAGTTACATTGTCAGATCTTGGTTGTGTGGATTTCAAATCCACTAGAAATAATGAACATACTCTCTTTCCCCATGTGGGATTTCAGATACCTAATAAGTAACCTGATTTTTTCTAGTGATGCTTTGCACCATTTATTTTTTAATTATGTATTGTGCTGTATGTATATTTACTAATTATTTATATAAACTACAAATTTCTTGTCTTACACATGTTTGTATGTAGAATACAAAATTCATCTATCATACTGATAACTCTTTTTAAACCTCACTGTTGTGTTTAGGTGCCTGATGTTAGGACTAGTCTTTAATGAAACAGCACATTATTAGTGCTGGATCTACATATTATGCTTGGAAGAAGGTTGGAATAAGCATGGGCACACAAATATTTTACTAACAAATTGGTCAGCACAGACTTAAGTTGTAGTTTTGTAGGACTGTTCAGTTGTGACATGTCAAATGCATAGCACTGAAAGAAGATTTGTGGGTTTTCCAAGCGACTGTGGTTTTGGCTGGGTTAACGTAGCTGGCTTAAGAAACACTAGCACTGCCAGGCCAACTTCACCATTGAAAGTGTGCTCTCTGATTTCTTTCTAAGCACCATTTTACAAAATAAACTGAACACAGTACAGATTGGTACCTGGCAGTGATTTTACAAACGCCAGTGAATTGGCTTGCAATCATCTTATACTGGGAGCATTGCTGTTCATTCACAAATAAGAGTCACTGTGCTGAGTCAGACTGTGAAGTCCATCTAGCTCAGTGCTCTGGCTCACAGGGTTAGCCTCCTGGTGTCCCTCCCGAAGTCAGAGATTAGGAAACTGAGTTTGTACATCCTAGCCTCAGTGTCAGGACTATAATCTCTGTCTTCTCAGAGGAAATCTTACAGATTCCTTGCTTCAACTGAGAACAGTCAAGGTCTTGGGTAACTCCAAATGGATGTCTGTTATGAAAATACAGAGGTGGGACTTCTGACAGCATGCATTATAACACAGATCAGTATTTGGAGCTGTGTCCCAAAACATTTCTTTCGTGGATATTCACCATGCAGCCAACTTGAGCTGTTGCTGAACCTCCAGACGCTTTCATGCAGCTCTTAAAATAGACGGAGCTTTTGGTGGGGCAGTGTTGCTGGTATTTGTCTGGAGGATAGGTTGTATTCAGTAATCTGGCACCTTCTTGTACTCGTATGTTGCTAGAATGTATAGATGAACTGTGCATCTCAGCTCCTAGTAGGTGATATTTCAACCTTGCCTTTGTTACTGAACAGCTCTTGGTTTCTCTATTTCCGCAAGCAATGCTCAGGTGAATTCTAATGACCTTTCTGCCCCTGCTACTGCCAAGACATAGAGTTGTGTGCTACTTCGCTAAACAGACCAAATGCCATTTTTACAAGGCTATGCATAGCATTGGTGGGTCCTATTTCCTTGCCCTGTACATGGAATGTTTCTGTCTGGAAGTAGCTCCTGTGGTAGCTGGGAGGAGAAAATGAGAAAAAACAGGAGAGAATGGGGAGGTGGTGAGAGAATACAGATTTCAGCCTTCACAAGTCCTCATACACCTGGGTGCGTGAATTATATTTTGAGATCAAGGCATGCGGTTTTAAAGCTTTGGTCAAGAGGTGTTTTACGATAAAAAATAATCTTAAAAAACACTCCTTCAAGTAATAAAAGCTAAATCTCAAAAGAGCTGGATGCAGCATGCACCTTCCCATCATGCAGTATTGTAAGAGAAAGTAAACTACCTGGAAAATAGCTGATTTGTGAAAATATTTTTTAAAAAATGATCAACTACTAAGAATGAGAAGTGAATGTTGAACTTTGAAAGATTCTGCAAGTACAATTGTGAGAGAGAACTTTTTTCATGAGGTGGAATCATTACTTTTTTTATGTATATGACACAAATTCTTCCTTCTAGCGTTGAAGTCTAAGATACCTTCATAACTTCCTTTGCATTCTGTCCATCCTGTTCTACTGTTAGGACTAATACTGAAAATTCTTCTTACTTCTGTCTAAATTTTTATGGGCTCTAAGATTGTGATATTTGTGCTCTGTAGTCTATTGGTTTGCTTTATTTGAAATGAAATATGAATGCCTGTGGGGTTCACATAAGTTGTTTTTATTTAAACTGGATTTTTTCAGTTTTCTGTTAACTATGAAAAATATTATCGTTATTATTTAAAAGAAAATGGTATTAGCTGAACTGATTTCTTTTTTATTGAAGGAGATTTTATGAGGATGGAGCAATTGTTCTCGGTGAAGAAGCAAATATGCTTGCTGGTATGCTTTTGGGACTCAATGCAATTGATTTCAGGTATTATATTTGCATGCTTTATAATTAAATGCTCAGAGAAATTATTTATAAAACAATGTATTATGGGAAGCATTCTTAGATTCCCTTGGTAGTTTGCGAGACAAAACTTAGGTTATGGGGAAGAAGGGAGAAGGGGAGAGAGAGAGATCTTTAATGGCTCTTCTAGATAAGAAAAAAGTTATACTGTCTTTTATATAACTGCATGGTTACATGGTTGCTCTTTCAGGTATCAAAACCCTAAAAGCAATCAGAAGTATAATTGCAGAAGATATTTCAAACTTATTGAATGAAGCTTACAGGCAATTGAATCTTTTGAAGTTATTTTTAAACTGTAAGGAAAACTGTGTGATTAAGTGCTTGGTTATACCTTGGTACTTAAGGACAGCATTATAACCCCGTATGTAGAAGGTAGTCTTTAACTTCTAGATTTTAAAAGCTTAACTTACAAATGACCATTTACTATCCATTTTTCTTATAATTAATTGCAACTGAACAGCTTACATTAATTTACCTTTCCAATCTCTATCCAGACTCTTCTGGGCTTTCCTATATGATTAATTCTGTGTTTTGGGGTAATAAAGGTGCAAGCACACTCTAGATAATATAAATATATATATATATATTTATGGTATAGTATATGTATAAAACCCACCAGTAAAGTATAAAAATATAGTGCCTGTAAAAAGATTGAATCTGGCTGGTGCAAGACCCTGTTAATATGCCTGGTTGGGCACACTTAGCCTCAGGCAGAGCCGGTGGCAAAGCATTTCATAATGGAGCATAGGGAAAAGGAGAGAGATAATGTTGTTCTCCACTCTTTTGTCCGTACACTGTTAATATTTACCCTGCAGCAGCATTCGTGCTTGTCACAAACCAGTTTAGGAGATAAACTGGCAGAAAACAGCACATAGCCTCACTGGGTGCACTGAGTGATTAACTGTTGCCAAAAGGCCTTTGGAGATTTACTCCTGCTTATGTTCCCATATGCCAGTTTTGAGGCTTGTTGGACCGTTCTATGAGCCAGCTTAAATTCTTAAAGAGTAAAAAAACATACCCAGTAAGAAGACAGAATAGTTCTTTTGTTGTTGGTACTTTGGTTCACAGAAGCATCCTGTTAGTGGCAGAGATGATGGGAGCATAAGGCTTAGAGAAGAAAAAGGAACAAAAAGCATTGAGTAATGTTTTCACTTTCTGGTGGCACTGAGCCTTTAGTTCAGCTGCCTGTGGAACTGCAACTGGATACCAAAAGAAAAAAAAAAAGTAACCTAAAAATTCAGGTCCTGATGGCTGCTGAACTATTTCATAATGCAGTCAGATCCCAATACTGCTGTGAGGAGGAGAAAGGGAATGTGGTTCGGGGTTTAGGAAAAAAAAAAAGAAAAAATGGGGAAGGAGAGATTGAAAACACAGGATGGCTTCTTTTCCCAGCATTTTGTCATTAGATTGGCTTAACTGCATCCTCAACATATGTTCTGGAGGAACAGAAGTGTGCTGCATGATGATAAGGGTGCTAGTCTTGTGTTAAGCAAATTCAAATCTTACCAGATTTTATTAGTTTAATCTTTACATTATATGAAGTTAAACTGCTTCTATATTATCCCTATACTTGAAAGGACTATAGCTATACATGAATAACATTGCAAGATTAGGTCTGCAGTATGTAAATCCTCCCTGAAAAATCATCAGCTGTCTGTGTTTGTCTTGCATAAGCCTCAGTGATACATAGTAGGGTATGAATACTTCATTGTATGACTGCACTTGTTCTTCCTTTGTCGTCTGATTTACAATATAAGCATATTTGTAAGTATCTGTTAATAGTATTCAGAGTAGTGATTGGTTCTTTTTGAAGACATATAAGCTTTTGTCAATGCAGTTTTTAAAAGACTAGGAATTTTCTGGTCAAAATGGGAGCATAGTACTACAAGTGTGTTTTTATTGTCTCACATATCACATAATTACAGAATGGGTAAGGTTGGAAGGGACCACAGTGGGTCATCTGGTCCAGCCTCCCTACTCAAGCAGGGTCATCACAAAGCACACTGAACAGGATTGTGTCCAGCTTGTTTTTGAATATCTCCAGTGAGGGAGACTCCACTACCTCTCTGGACAATCTATTCTAGTGCTCAGTCACCTGCACAGTAAATTTCTTCCTCGTATTCAGGTGGAACTTTCTATACATCAGTTTCTGCCTGTTGTCTGATGTCCAATTTCTTGGCACCACTGAGAAGAACCGTCACAGTAATGTGATTTGAAGAGCTAAGAAGCCATAGCCATTCTTTGCATGTTATAGTTGAGATTTTTTTTGTCACTTCAAACAGTTTCTGATACATGTTGACTAGCTTATGGAAACTGTAAAAAAGACTTCGGGGTAGAGATGGGGGAACTTGGGTGAGAACATAATCTAGTTTTTTTACCCTCACAGCAATGTGGTTTCTACTTAAAGTAGTTGTGATTTTGCAAGGGTGCTTTTCTTATTTTCTTTGTTTTTCATTTCTTTGGGGGAAAAAAAAACCCCTTAGATGTACTTCCCAAATACCACTTAAGTGACTGCATTGTCAAAAATGGCACTTTGCAATTCAGTTAGCAAAAGCTGTGTCTTGTTAGAATCTGTTTATTGATGACAGAGATAGGAGGAATGAAGAATATAAGCCTTGTGGAAGCATGATTAATTTTGTCGCTTCTGTGCTAATTAGAGATGATTGAAATACAATAATTTGTATCCAGTACAAAAAAGAATACAGTGTAAATGAGGGGTTTATAAAGATACAGCCATTTAAGAACATTTTCTAAAAGTTAGTTTCATGTTCCTCATCTTCCTGCAGCCCAGCACCTGTGTCTAAAAGGAGAAAGACTCTGAAATATTTTTGAGAACAGATTTTTTGATTTAATGGAATGGGTGCATAAGTGCTCTGCAAACACTTTAAATGAAGTCAAATGCTGAAGATTCAAGTTCATGCATAGTTCTTCCGTTGCTTTGGTTAACTTCCCTGTTATTCCCTTGCCATCTATCTGTATTTTTCAGAAAAAAACCCAAATATTTAAAAACTAGGGTTTATAGTACTTGCTCTGATCTGTTCCCTGATTATGTGTATTTTCTGGACTCGTTTAATATTAAACAATCTAGCTCACCTGAGTAAGATTTCAGTGTTAAATGCTCTAAGCTTTTCTTATTATCAAAATATTAAGAAAAATCAAATTTCACATTGGTAAGATTCTGTTGTTTAATTTTCTTGTTAAAAACTTATTGTTTCTCTCTTTTATCAGTTTTTGTCTGAAGGGTGAGGGACTGGATGGCAGCTATCCTGCTGTCATAGATTATACACCATACTTGAAGTTCACCCAAAGGTACTTTTTAGCTTTACTCTGCTTTTTTTTATTTCATTGGCAAAAATTTCCTTTATGCTGGGCCTCTTTTTATTTAACATTCAAAATAATATTCATCTCTAATTACAGATCTGTACCTTTATCTTTAAGACTGGGGGAATTGTTACATGACTCATTAATGTGAGTCATGTTAGCTTTGTTTCCTTGGCTTAGAATCAGAGTTCAGCAGGAAACAAATGCTTTATCTCCTTTGATGATCCCAGACCAAGCTGTCCTTTCTGTTGGGCCTTTTCTGTGTAGCCATAAACTTAAAAGTAGTTATTTTGTGTATAAAAATTATATATGCCCTGGTAAATGTAAGATACGACATGAACAGTGTGAGCTGTTAGCACATAATAGACAGTCATGATCAGTTGCATATATGATCTGACTTTCCAGCTACACTTTCCCCCTCTGATCAACCTTATGATTAATAATAAAAAGAATTCTCGCTATCTAATAAATTAGGTAACAATCTGACATAATCAAAAACCATGGAAATAAATAAAATATGTTCTATTGTTAGGTTTGCCAAAATGAAGGAAGTAGTTGGTAGTTAGTAGTAATCTTGTAGGTGTACAACTGAACATGAAATATCCCAGTTATTCTCCCAAAGCTCTTGCTAGTTACATGTTAGTAACAAATTGCGTGGTTCAGTTAAAGCAGAATTTGTATCACGGCAGGATCATGACGTTGGAGAAATTGCTACTTAAAAAACTGAGTAAATTCTGGTAATGTAGTGGGAAGCATAGCTGTAAGGGAAGATTTTTAATGGGTGTTGAGATAAATCAGAATTCTAATCTTTGAGACAGATGTCTGCATTCTCTGACATACATTGATTCTGAATGATACGAAGATATTTAAGCAATGAGTCTGCTTACTGTGTTGGGAGATACATTCTCTGCAGTAACAGGCACATGATCTTTGCTATAACCATAATGATACATTCTCATTTGAAGTTATCATGATTTACCATAGTGACAACCACTTTTTTGATTTCCTGCTGGGTTGTTTTTTCAGAAAAAAAAAATTGTTTTCAGATCCTGCTCTTCCTCCTGAATTTGTGAAGAAAAGATTAAGTCACCACTTCCTTAGCATATTGTAATGCATTTGTCCTTTGTATTCCAGGAGAGTAGCCCACAGAGAGTTGTCTAACTTGACTAAGTTCACAAGCAAATTTTTACTATGCAAATAAAAGCTTAAAATATAAGTTGTGTTTAGTGATCTATCCTATCCCAATATTTTGATTCTTTTTGGTTTGCAGAGCTTTAGATATTTTTAAGAAATGTGATGCTTTAATTTCAATGAGAATTTGCCTTTTTACAAGCATGCCTTTTGACACAGCTCATAAGTGTGTTCCTTCAGTTCTGACAGCATCAGCAGTGATGAAGAAGAGCTAAGAACGCTGGGCAGTAGTGGCAGTGAAGGCAGTACTCCAGAGAACATCGGCCCTCCTTTCATCACAGATGAAAACAGTTGGTACAACAAATGCAAAAGGGTAGAACAGAAGTACCGGCTTGCATTGGAACAGAAGGTAAAAGATTAGTTTCGTGGGGGAGCTGTGAAGCCAAAGCTCATCACCAGCCAACTGGTGACATATCCAGTTAAATTAAGTCAGGAAAATATATTAAATATTGTTTAGCTTCAGGTAAGTGGCCTTAGATTTTATGATCCTCAGAGTATCTAAGCATCTGTGCTCAGTGATTTGAGGGTAAAGAGGTCTGGGGAGATGTGGAAGAGAATAATAATAATAATTCTGAGATCAGATTTCACAATCTAATGTAGAAGTTTTGTCTCCGTTTTCCAGTCTTGGGGTTACATCCAATGTATTTCTGACACTGTTAGTTTGTGAGCTTGAAGTGGCATGATTTTCCACATGACTTTTCTCTTCCTTAGATGCTACAAAATTTTATTGATGTATGTAGCCTGTCAGTAGAAGGCTTTTATGATGGTAGTGGTGTTAAACTTAACGCTTAAGTCTTAGAGTAAACAGAAATGATCAGCAAAGTAATCCATCTAGTAGGAAAAGTAAAATTGCCTTCTCAGTGATACTGTGATGAGTTTTTAGAAAACATATGGTTTTAAGACTTTCTTGAAGCTAGAATGGGAAAGGAAAAGAAAAAGAAATGTGTTTTTATTTGATTTTAATTTAGATGGCATACTGAGTGTTACCATAGAAACCAAAGTTAAGTTTTCCATCTACACCCAAGACACTTTAAGTTAAAGGTGAAGTGAAATACACATCCAAACCTTTTAGTAATTTAGCATTTTTAAAAGGATAGCACTTGTCAATTTTTTATAATGTCATATTACATCTACAGTAATTACAGTGCTAGTGAGAGACAGAAGAGGGAGGACTGTTCACAGACACTTAAGAAGTAGAGCACTGAAGAAGACAGAAGGGATCAGGAAAAATGAAGGGAAAATAAAAAGTAAGAATTTGATTTTTGTAAAACTTTGAGCACAGTAAACCATATGAAGGGCTGGAACTACAGAAAGGTGCTTGGAGGTGTAATTATTTCCCTGAATACAGAATCAAAACTGGTTTACTTTAATACATTTGGAAGAACCTAGCTAAAGTTTTTCTTAGTAACTTTGAAAAAGTCAGACTTGCTTGTGGGATAGTAAGTGAGAGGCATTTTTTAAAAGGACACATACAATTATTTCTTTTGTATTTTGGGTCCCTTAGACTTCTTGGTTTTGAAATATGACCTGAACTGTTGGCATCCAGGTTGCTGGTACCATCTTTCCAGCTTGTGTGGCATTATTTTCCATATGGAAAGAACTTACATTTTTGGAGGTCTCTTTGGTACAGAGAGCATTTCCTCTGCTTCTGCAAACCAAAATGTGGCAATCAAAAGGAATGTCTTCAAATAAGTGAACAAAATGAAAACCTTGCCCTCCCCATCCCAACAGTCCTTGAACCACGGAAAAATATTCAAGACAGGACTTGATCCTTGTGACATAACATAGGATCAGTTTGAACTCACACTCTTCCCCATCATGAGGAAAGTGTCATCAGCTCTGAAGAAGCATCGAAGAGAACAAAAGAAGTGGATGTTTATTTTTGTGGTTCATCCAAGTGGTTTATTTCCAAGGATACCCCATCATACATTATGACATACATGATGCCCAAATCCATTAGCCAGAATCATTAGGAAGCTTTATATTTGCATAAGCACGAAGGTCTTCAGTGGCTGTAACAGCCAGTGGTGGTTTTGATTTATCCATGAGTCTAAGATCCAGAAACTTTCCCGTTCCATTGAAGTTATTTGCCAATCTCATACTCAAATTTTTGAGCATTATTATTATTATTTTAGTGAGTCATGTTATTCCTTGTAACATTCTTTTAATGGACTGCCAACTTCTCTAGCTGTCTAATGTAAGGGTGAATTTAAATCAGTTTTTGGATAAATCTTTGAAAATTTTGATGCATTTAAAACAATTTTCAAAATAATAGCTACTCTGACAGCTGTCGACACTTTCCTAATTGTCCTCCTTTAGAATGCCTACTTGCAATTGCAGCAGGAAAATGACTTTTTTATCTTACAGACAGAAAAAATTCCATTATTTAATTTTTATTTGAGATGTGCCTGCCAAGTTTTTATTTAATTCACCTCAAATATACTACATCTGTTCCATTATAATTTGAAAAAATGACCATTAAGAGATTAGATGGACTATGGAATGGAGCTCCTTTCCTGCTGTTTCTCTTTCTTCCCTTTTGGGGACTTTTTTTGTGGCAATAAGTTGAATCAACAACTGAGTTGCACACACAGCAATAGTACCAGTTAATTGGAGGTGGCGTTTTTATTCAAGCAAAGGGGCTTTCTGACAGTCTATGTGTTGGAAAACTGGATGTTTGTGTCAAGAAGACCAAGTTGAAAATGCCTTTAGTAACTGATGAGTGGATCTGATGGATCCTTCTTTTGCTCTACTGTCATTCACTTTGCCCAAACAATTATAAATTCCTTTTGTACCTCCCAAGTAAGTGTGTGTACTGCAGTCATTAACAGCAAAGGTGAATGATGTTTACCAGGGCCACCATATGACACTAAGATAAAGGTCTCTGTCTTCTGAGTCATTTAAATGGTAGGATAGGGTCAGGTACTATTTTAGCAAGGTATATCCTAGCATTGATTTATTGGATCAACAGCACTGTGCTGGTTTAGACCAAGAATCTTTGGTTATCCTACTATCCTGTCTTCGGTACTTAGCCGAAATAGATCTGGAGGGAAGAATGAACACAAAGCACATCTATATGCCCTGCTTTTCCTCTAATACATTCTTGGCCAATGTATATCAGCTGAGTGACTTCCTGAGGCTAATAAGGTTTGTCTGTACAGTAATCTATGATGGATCTCTCTTCCAAATACTTGTCAAATATCTCTTTCATTTCATGCAAATTTTTTGCATCCCAAGAATTTTTTTTGCAAAGCATTCTGTGAATCTGCCATCTGTTGTGTGAAAAAACACCTCCTTTTCTGTCTTTCGAATCTGGCTTCTACAGGCTTGATTTTGTGATTCCTACTTCTTGGGTTTTTTTTTAAATTAGGAAGAGTTGCTTCCTCCCTCCCCTCTCTAGCCCACTCTGGAAATATGATGAGTTTGTCTTTTCCAAGTTGTCCCCTGTCCAGATTAATGAGTCATACCTTACACATTTGTTACTTATGTGGAAGTTATCCCTTCCCTATTTTGGAATGGTTTAAACTGTTCACTTTGGTGTAGTAAACTCCTAAAGTTTTTGTGTAGTGTTTATACTGGAGCTTTATGTGCTTTTAATGGTGGGATGGTGCATCTCTGTGCCACTGTAGATAAGAGTATTTACTGCTCATAGTATTCTGTTTCTGATGCTTCATGTCTAATATGTTTTTGTAAAATTTGATTTTTTATTTTTTCCCGAGAGGCCAGAAATTTGTGTGTATCCTAACACATCATTCAGTACTTTCAAAATGCTACTTAGAGCTCCAAGGAGTATCTTAGCAGTCAAGATGACAGTAACATTTGATAAAGCAGAACTAGGCATACTGAAAAGCTCTCAAGATTCCTTGGAACTTGTACTGAAACTAAAAAATTCCTATAAAATATGAATATATCGAGTGGATGGAACTATAGGTAACTGTAGAATCACAGAATACTTGTGGTCAGATAACACCTCTGGAGGTTGCCTAGTCCAGCTCTCCTGCTCAGAAAAAGGTAGAGTAGAGCGGGTTGCTTAAGGCCTTATTCTGTCAGGCTGTGAATATCTTGAGGATGCAGACTTCCCAGCCTGTCTGGACAACCCATTCCAGTGTTCGTTTAAGACCAAAAAAAAAAAAAAAGAAGAGGGGGAAAAAAAAAAGGTTTTCCTATATTTATATCCCTGTATTTCAGTTTGTGCCCATTGTCTCTTTTCACTGGCAACCACTGAGAAGAGTCTTTCTCCCCTTAAATACTGATGATAAATAATAATGGATTTCCCATTAAATACTGATGCACATTGATATGATTCATTTTTCTTACCCTTTTCCCTTTACCCTAGCCCTGACCTGAGCAATCCCAGCTCCTTCTTTCTCCTCTCATATGAGAGATTCTCCAAACCCTTAACAGTCTTTGTGGTGCTGAATTTCATTAGTAGCATCTTGATACGAGCTAATGTGAAACCTGTTTTCTTGTTCAACAGGAATTGAGAGCAGCCGCACCAATTCCATATCTATGAAAACTGCCCTTTTTTTTATACTTATTTTTAAGTGTGGACACCTATGAGAGAGTTGCACAGTTTTCCACAGGTTTCAAGGAATATGCACAATTTTATGTGGTGTAGACTTAGTGTATCTAGTTTTAACTGAGACTTTATTAGAAGTTATTCACATCTGACGTGCTGGAACTCTGCCTGAAGAAGGAAATGGAATAGCTGATTAGTATGTGTAACATACTTTGCGGCCAGCGTGCCATCACAGCTGGCATTAAATACTCACATAGTGGATTTTTTTAGGTGACTAAGTAGTGTGATTAGGATTGTCCCATTTCTTTATAGTATCAGGTGGAAAAACAATGGCATACGTGCACATTCCAGCTGTACATGTCCAGTGTTACTAAAAGAAGTGACCTTCACTGGTTTTCTTACCTTATGCTTTACTGTAGATTAGTATTTATTTCAATAACATCCTTTGTATTTTCAGTGTGTGATGAGGTATTGCAGTTTTCAAAGAAACTTTAGAATAACATATATTTTTTTTCATAACAATTCTGGATCCCTTTCATTAACTATATAGATCTATGTAGTTTCTACTCTTGTGCTTCTTGTGCAATATCTAACATCCTGCATCTGTTACGTTGTAGGATTCTGTTCTTTTTCTTGTATTAGTGACTGTTCTGTGTTGCTTTTGAAAAATTAATTTGTGTTTCATGCTGGTGGAACTCCTGTCTGATTTTTTCATATTCCTCTGCAAAAGTATGTGATTTTTTTTGTTGCCTATTAAGAAATATCAAACTAATTTCAAGTTAATTTACCAGTCTGTTTAAAAATAATTAATAAACCCTACAACAAAACCAAAGTAAAACCATATGAATCATAAACCAGAAAATGTGAACATACATAAGGAAGTTTTTGTGATAGCTCTTTTAAAGTTTTCTAACAACTTACATTTCCAGGGTTATCTTGAAGAATTGGTACGACTCAGAGAAAACCAACTATCTGAATCTGTCTCACAGAATAAACTACTATTACAAAGAATTGAAGATATGGATCTAGCTCATAAACTGGAGAAGGAGCAGCTGGAATATATCATTGTGGAGCTGCAAGACCAGTTGTAAGTTAGTATAATGAAGAAACGTTGTTAGAGCAGTATTGTTTAAATTATTTAATTTATTTAACTATACAATACAAAGAGCTTCTGGTCCTGTGGAAGTGAGATAAACTTCTTAAAGAAATTGATGTATTTTAGCTTTTTATGTTTGGTTTTTTTTTTTTTTTTTTTACTGCAAAGTCTTGTATTTGGAAATGGCTCCCCTGAAAACTTCAGTAGTGTAAGACAAAATAATTCTGAGATTAAATATTTAATTTTTTTTTTTTTAGATCTGAAATAGCTTACAGTAAACTTGTTTAAATTTTTAACACATTTTTCTAAACCGTTCTTTATATTCTATGACTTCCAGCTTTAAGGCTACCCCTTAAAAATATTGAAAGCAGCTTCCCTTTGAACACTATTTTTTAATGTTAGGCAAAGGGGGATAAAAGAAAAATACTTATTTTCATTGTTTAGATTATAATTTATTTGTGTGTGGCTCAGACACAGTAGAAGTTCATCTGGTAGTCCTAAAAATATTCAAACTGGTGAAACAGTTTTCTAGTCACCCTTTCTTCAATGCAGGGCAAAATACTAGAACAACAGTAGGCGGCCTATCATTTTAATAGCATTTGTGACTACTAATATGATAGATATTTGAATAGCTTACGATCCTTACACACAATTTATCCTCTCAGCCCTGTCTGTTGGCTGTAGGGAGGTACTCTACTTTTGCAGAGACACTCTCACATTGGTTGAGGCTCTGAGCAAGCTGGTCTGGTGGAAGGTGTTCCTGCCCATGACAGGGGGCTTGGAACAGGATGATCTTTAAGGTCCCTTCCAACCCAGACCATTCCATGATTCTACGTTTAAAGACTCAGATAGATGGAAGACCTGCTGTCTGGTGATAAGTTGCCATGAGACTGCTGTGGTATGCACCCACAGCAATTGAATGTTCTGTTCCTAACAAATACAAGATATTTTACCTTATATTTGGAGTAATTTTTAAGTGTCTGAGCCGTAAAGTAACATCTGTGATCTTTGAAACAATCCAGGATAAAGAGAATATAGGAGACACCGTCCAGAAGGGTCTTTTCTATGCAGTAATAAGTATTTAACTTGTAAACAAAGGTGATTTTTTTTCTTCTTCTCTTTCTCATGATAGATCATTTTATTGCCAATGCTTGAAATGTATTTTATGAAAATCCAAAGGAATACAGAATTTACATTTTATTTGTGCCTATTTCAGAATTGAAGAAGAAAAAAAAAATGTTTTTCTGTTTTTCCAAGTTTTTTTTTCACCCTGCTCTGATTGCCTGTAAGTTTTTGAGAGATACCTGTTCCTGAGTTATTTTCTGAACTTAGTGATATGCCTTATGATTCATGTTATACTGCTTTGGCATCCTTGGTTATTTGGGGGAGGTGTGAGCTCATTTAAACCTACTCTGGCACTGGAAATTTTGAATGTTGATACCTGCTGTTAATTTCTAGCTGAGATATATGCAATCAGACTGTTCTAAAGATCTCAGTCTTTAGAGTTTGATTTTGTTTGCTGGCTTTCTTATGTAAAGGCTCAAACTGTGGAATAGTTTCGATTGTATCTTGACAGTGTGTTTTTGTATAGCTGTTTGTGAGACACTGCAGTGGGGAGTCTGAACTATACTAGATATTTGGAGAGGTATAATGCTGCATTTTTATTGTTGTTAGTGCAGTGTACCTGTCAGATGAGGGAAGGGAAGAAGTACTCCTAGCAGGTTTCTAATGGTCAACACCATAAGTAACGTATTTTCATAATGTTTGGTAATTGGTAATTTTCCTTTTTGTTTTGTGTTTTGTTGTGGGTTTTTTTTCCTTTTTTTTTATTCTGACCAAGAGTGACGTGGCAGCAGAATGTGTTGTATCACTAATATGTCTGTAATGAGGCATGAGTTTTGGCCAGTTGCTTTTTATGGTCCAGCCATTTTAGAATGATGTTAATGTGATTCCACATCTTAGTGTTTTGCTCTCCTACCATTAGTAGCATTTTGAAACAGTGAATGTATGGTGTAATCTGTTTGAATTCTTTATAAGCAGATAAGAGCAAGTTTGGGACTGTAATTCTGCCCAAGGCATACTGCATTACTGTTTGTAAAACACTTGAGATCTGATTTAGGATCATTTGCTGTGTAATCGAAACTATTATAAATAAACATTCTATATTTTCTTTTTAATGATGCTCTTCTATTCCACTGGCTGTTGTTTCTGAGGTAGCAAGTTCTATGGCTTCATACTTCTGTTGAGTAAGGATTTGACAATGCTTCCAAAACTATATTTCACAGGCATGCAAGTCAAAATGTTTTACGTATATTCTCAGTGGGTTTGGGCAGCATCTGAGTCTATGCCTATTTCTGCCTCACCCAGAAAAAAAAAAAAAGTGTGAGGTAAGGAATAGAGATCTGACTCTTTGACAATATAGGTTGTTATTGTTGCTGACTTAGAAACCAGATAAGACAGAATCAACCATTAAACACCAGATAAACAAGGCCTTCTGGTTAAAAATTAGATTTCCTCCAGAGACATTTTTCCACGTGCATGTTTAATAAGGCAGTTTATTGTGAAGCATGAAATAGTTATGGGGATGGGAGATTGGAGAAACTTGGAAGTAATTTTTCTTTAACAGAGAATGTAAATGCTATGCTTTGTGTTCTAGAATTTTCTGTATTCCTAACTTTGTCTCACACATTTGAGTATCCAACCTACAATGAAGAACAAAATTTTCAATTTAGTTAAGAGCTATTTTACAGATCTCTTGAATACCAATATCTGGAAAACAGAGAAGCTGAAAATTTATCAGATTAGTTATTCACAAAACAGTAACATTTTTTTTGTGTGTCTTTCAGCTTAATTGGATTTCTTAGTAATATGCCCACCCATTTGCGGATTGGAGCTCTCTCTTTATAAATTAAGTTAGGAAAGTAAATCTACAATGGAAAACCTGATCATCAGTCCAAAACATTTAAGCTGATGCACAGCTGGGCAACGAGGAGGTTCAGGCCAGACATTAGGAAACATTTCTGTACTGGGAGGGAGGTTCCTAGAGAGGTGGATGATGCCCCCAGCCTGTCAATATCTAAGAGGCATTTGGACAATGCAATTAAATAATATGCTTTAACTTTTAATCAGCCTTGAAGTGATCAGGCAGTTGGGTTAGATCATCATTTTAAGTCCCTTCCTATAGGAACTATTCTGTTCTATTCTCAGAACAGCTTGGTCTTTTACCACCCTTTCAGCATCTCCAGATTTATAAAGTGATTGCCTAGAGATAGGTGTGAATTATAATAATGATGAGGCACTTATGGCCTTCATCTGCTTTCTTCAGAAGCCATCACTGGGGATGTGTTTTTGTCTAGGACTCGTAGTTGAACATTACAGAACAGTGCTTTTGGGTCCTGTCTTCTTTAAAAATAATGTATTTTTACAGTGAGGGTGAGGCAGTTCTCAAGGCCTTAAAGTGCATAAAGTCAATAGCTCACAGGAGGACAGCCACGAGAAGCCTGTGATCCATGGCATGTCTAGCTGAATAAAAAATTCTGTAACACCCAAAATGTGATGGGAAAGGAATCCCAAATAATCAAGGAATTGTATTCTGGAGTATTCAGACTCACATAGGCAGACATTCCTTCCTCCTCTATGATCCCACAAAGAAATATTGAATGTCTCTTGAAGCAGAGAGACATTTGATTGCACACTCCATCATTAAAAATTTCTAAGCACCCCCACAATGTAGGTATATTTATTTATAAGTTATATAAATGTACTATTTTTCTAATCTGTTATTTAAATTTTTAAACATACACAAAAATAGAAATTTAACAGTAAGATATAAGGTTAAATAAAAACTATTTTATATTTTTGAAAGTTTATTAAGAGTACAAAAAGTATTTTCTTCCCATACCCCAAAGGATTGTCTTTCACACCTCCCTTTGGAGACGACTGTATTGAAGGACTAGTTAGCTCAGTCAAAGATGTGACTGGGCAAAATCTGGGACCATTTGCCCACAATATCCTTGTATTGAAACTCTTGAGCTCATCTTAAAGAGGCTTTTTTCCCCCTTTGGGCGATTCTTAGTCTTACTTTTGACTAACACACTACCTGTGTTAAGACAAACTCTGCTGATATTTGTTACTTTAAAGTTTAGATTCTGTATCTGAAATTGATATTCATATGTGTTAAATATTGACGATTACAAGAAAGATTCCATCAATTTCCTGAATAGTGACTCATCTCCTGCAGGGTGACTCACTGATGTTATAAAAGCTGATCACTTTAACGTAGACCACCATCTTTTTAAAATAAGTGGAAGGAAAAGGGAGAGCATTTTATACAAAGCAAAAAAACCCCTCTTAACTTAAAGTGCTTTATTTTTTTTTCCTGCTGAGATATTTGTTTAAATTAAAATAGTGATTTGCATAGTGTTTATCAACATAGGTTTCCTCCTAAGTGATTTCTTAGGGTTTTCAGGCTGGTGCGCCTGGTGTAAGATAATACAGCCGTTTGTCCCAGCTGCTGTTTTCTTTTTTTTAATTTATCACATGTATGTAAAATCTGTTTCTTAGATTCAGTGATTATGCTACATTTTATACCACTCTTTTTTAACCCCCTTTGCTGTTTCTTACTGTATCCCTGTATTGTTCTGGTGTTTTGTGGAGGGGCATGTGGAGGGAAGAAAAATCAGGAAAACTGTTCTAAGTTTGGAATTCTGTCACTGATTATGGCACAGATATGCATCAAGTTTAATTGTAGGGGCACTCTTGCTGTATATTGAACTAAGTTTGTATGCATAACTAAGAATTTTTTTAATGTGTTAACAAATCTTAAAGATAGGTTTATTTAATTTGTCTTGGTGTTACTTCAGAATTAGCCTTTTCAAGGCTTGTAATCCATTCTTAATACCTTAAAATAGCTTAATACTTTAATATTAATAATACTTAATAGTTTAATATCCAGCAATACTGCAGTTTCTATCTGGATAATGTAGGTGTCT